GGTTGTGTGCATGGTCCTGCATGAGAAGAATACCCCAAAGTAAGGAGGACTTGGTTCTGGATGCTGATTTTCCTGTGGGATATTTCTTAGGCTTGGGTCCCACTTCTGCTAAATCCCATTCAGTCCTGAACCGGGTGGAAATAAGAAGCCTCCATTCATATGGTGGCCACAAGTCATAGCTGACTAGGAGGAACATAACAGCAGTTGGTATCAAACCTTGTTTTGCAGAACCTTAAAGCCTGCTTTTCAAAATAACATTACTAATGATTAATGATAATAATAATACAAATAATAATGAAGTGTAGACTGCAAGGAAGCAGATGAAACGATGGATCACATACTCATATGCTGCAAGAAGATTGCGCAAATTATAAGCAGAGGCATAATACAATTGCTCAGATGATCCATTGGAACTTGTGCCACAAATACCATCTGCATGCAACACAGAACTGGTGGGATCACAGTCCTGAAAAGTTAAACAAAATCAACACACCTAACTATTCTGGGACTTTCGAATTCAGACTGACAGAGTTTTGGAGCAAACGACACCTAACCTCATGATCGTGGAAAAAAACGAAGTGTGGATCATGAATGTTGCAATCCCAGGTGACAGCAGAATTGACGAGAAGTAACTGGAAAAGCAGACACATTTCAAGATCAAACTGCAAAAACTCTGGCACAAGTCAGTCAAGGTGGTTCCAGTGGTGATTAGCACACTGGGTGCAGAGCCTAAAGACCTTGGCCTGCACTTAAAAACAACCATCGCTGACAAAATTACCATCTGTCAGCTGCAAAAGGCCACCCTGCTTGGGTCTGCACACATTATTGGCCAATACATCACACAGTCCTAGACACTTGGGAAATCTCCGACATATGATCAAATACAACAGCCAGCATAGCGATCTTGTTTGCTGTGTATCTAATAATAATAATAATAATAATAATAATAATAATAATAATAATACCACCACCAGAGAAGCAGAGACATCTGGTTTGGTCGATAGAAATGTATTTTTAATTGTATCTTCCCTGAGCTCATGTACAGAATGTCCAGCATGAAATGTCTCTGGACACGTTGATAACTGGGCAGAGCCTGTGTTTCTTGGAGATCTCATTTTCCCTCTTCTGCATAAGAGCTAGCTAACTATTGTGTCATTCGGCATAACCGAACCTTCTTATTCTTCTCTTCTAATGTTACTCCTCCGGAAAGGAAGATGTATCCATGATTCATAATGCAATCCATGCCTATTGGACAGACGCCTAGCGTAACCCATTGGTGGCTCCACCTTGTTGCAGGAAAAACCCTGGTTTTTTTTAATTCCATCTTTTCCTTCACTTGGCATACAATCTATAAGAAGGGGAGAGCAATTTAGGACACTTTAAGTTCCCTTGTAGCCTATGGGAGTGGACATTGCTTCCTGCCGCAGGAAACTGTGCCCACGGCCCACGTTGCAACCTTCAGTGAGGGACATTGCACCCAGAAGCCTTCCAGGCAGCCATGGCTATGGGAAAGCCTCCCAACTGGCATCGATTTCATTCCAAAATGGGATACTGGTGCACCAACAAGGCTTCTTTAATGGTAGGTAAAGGGAATGGCAGTGCAGGGTGTAGCCAGGCCACAGCATTCGCTCAGCGTTGGCAAAGTCTTCCCATTGGCTCAGATCGCATTGGCTGGTGTTTTTAAAGCCGCAGCTCAGTTCTGGACACTCTGATCCCGATACGAGAGGGAAGGAAGCAAGTTTAGCAGAAGGTATATCATTAAAAATCCAAGGTCAGAACCATTGGTTCTGGTTTCTATGCATGTATGTGAAAGCTCGACAGTGAAGAAAGTGGGTGGGAAGAAAAAACTCCTTTGGAAATTTGATGCCGGAGCAGAGTTCTATGGTTTACCAAAGAGACAAATAAAAAGGTTGGAGAGCAAAACCAAAGCTGAATGCTCCCTTGAATCCAAAATGATCAGAGAAGGAGACTGTTGTAATTCGGGCACACTGTGAGACTTGTCAGAAGGGATAGTAACACTATGTAACACTTTTTTTTTGTTCCTGGGTTATAAATGTCATATCCTAATTGGTTCTATCATAAAAACATGGACAAAGTTGTGTTGTCGAAGGCTTTCGTGGCTGGAATCACTGAGTTACTGTGAGTTTTCAGGGTCATATGGCCATGTTCTAGAAGCATTCTCTCCTGATGTTTCGCCCTCATCTAAGGCAGGCATCCTCGGAGGTTGTGAGATCTGTTGGAAACTAGGCAAGTGGGGTTTATATATCTGTGGAATAATGTCCAGGGTGGGAAAAAAAAAACCTCATCTGTTGGAGGCAAGTGTTAATGTTGTAATTGGCCAGCTTGATTAGCATTGAGTAGCCTTGTAGCTTCAAAGCCTGGCTGCTTCCTGCCTGGAGGAATCCTTTGTTGGAAGGTGTTAGCTGCCCTGATTGTTTCTTGTCTGGAATTCCCCTGTTTTTTTTAGTGTTGCTCTTTATTTACTGTCCTGATTTTAGAGTTTTTTAAAAATACTGGGAGCCAGATTTTGTTCATTTTCATGGTTTCCTCCTTTTTGTTGAAATTATCTACATGCTTGTGGATTTCAGTGGTTTTTCTGTGTAGACTGACATTGTGGTTGTTAAGAGTGGACCAGCATTTCTGAGTTCTCCAATAATATGCTGTCAGAGAAGTCAGCCATAGCAGAGCACTTGATAAACCAACCTGGACACAGCATATTATTGGAGAACACAGAAATGCTGAACCACTCTAACAACCACCATGTCAGACTATGCAGAGAAGCTATTGAAATCCAAACAGCCCTTTCAGTTTGATTATTACAATACAGCCAACATCACCCTCTTTTATGGACTCTTTCTAGGAAAGTACTGCTCCCCAAACCAGTCTTCACTCTTGTATCCCCTTTTTATAGCTTTCCATTAAAGTGAGAGAATCCCACTATAGACTTACCCTCCCTTATCTAGAATTCGGATGTCCAAAGTTGTCCCTATGGATGGCTGAGATCGTGACACCTTTGCTTTCTTTTGGTTCAGTTAGCACCAACTTTGTTTCATGAACAAAATTGTCTCTAAAACACAAATACCTTCGGGTTATGTTTGTAGGGTGTCAGTGAAGCATCAATGAAATTTGTGCTTATCTTTGGGTCCCATCTATATAAATATAGTTGTTCTAAAATCCAAAACCCAAACCACTTCTGGTTCCAAGTATTTCAGTTAAGGGATACAGTTAGTGTCCTTCATGTGCCTCCTCTCAGAACAACATCTTTTGGTCAGCTTTCTGCAAACGGTGTTCTGTGTTTCAGGAGTCATTGCAACCTTGCCAGAGGGAAGAGCTTTCCTAGCCTTGCTGTTGCAAGCAAGGCAAAACAAACAAATAATGTAATGGTGATTTCCAGCCTGTAATTACCATTTAAGTAGTAATTTCATACACTGCTTTTACCTGTGTGCTGGTTTTGCCTGTGTGCCTCTTACGTGTTTTTAAATAAATGTATGGACTTATTAATGGCTTATGCATGTCAAAACGTCAGGATACAGATATCAAAATGGCATTGCACAAGACATGGCCCACGGGCCGAATGTGGCCCACAAAGGCTTCCGTTCAGCCTGCAGAATGGGCTGGACTTGTTGTTGTTTGGACCTTCCTGTTCAAGGAGATAGAAAAACAAGGGAAGGAAGGGAGAAAGGGAGAAAGAAAAGGAAGAAAGGGAGAAACAGAAGGAATGAATTCACAAAGTGTGGTGTGGTGGTTTAAACCTTGGACTGTAACTCTGAACCAAGTGGGTGACTTCTGGCAAGTCATACTCTCTCAGCCTCAGAGGAAAACAAAGGCAAATCCCCTTTGAAAAAAATATTGACAAGAAAACCCTGTGATAGGGTCATCTTAGTGTCACCTTACGTCTGAAATGACTTGCACACAACAACAACAACAACCCTAATTAATCATTAATACTATGTAACACGATTTTTGTTCCTGGGTTATAAATATCATTTCTTAATGTATCATAAAAGCATGAAAGAGGTTTATCAAACTTCAAAGACTTTGTTTGTGTGGGAGGGGTATCCTGCTGTACATTTTGCTCTAGTTTTTCAAGCAATATCTTATTAAATCTCAACCAATTCAATCTAGTTTGTGGCAAAAGCAAGGTTTCTGGTCCGCACAATTAAACACTTTCTAGCCAGGAACAGAACATTTTTCAAATGTTGTTGTTGTTATTGTTCATTCATTCAGTCATTTCCAACTCTTTGTGACTTCATGGACCAGTCCACGCCAGGGCTCCCTGTCGGTCGTCACCACCCCCCAACTCCTTCAAGATCAATCCAGTCACTTCAAGGATACCATCCATCCATCTTGCCCTTGGTCGGCCCCTCTTCCTTTTTTCTTCCATTTTCCCCAGCATCATTGTCTTCTCTAAGCTTTCCTTTCTCTAAATTTTGTTACATAGTGCTATATCTTTACTTGGAAAATGTGGTGCTAAAAAACTATTTGCGGCCCCAAGAGGCTTAGCCTATTTGCTTTCGGCCCTTTACTACTCAGAGGTTGTGCTGGCCTGATTTAGAGCAATGCAACATTATCCAAAGCCATTCAAAGTAGTCCAAAACAAACTGCTTAAAGCAATGTACTGTGTTTCAGAATTCAGCTGAAGGCCATGATCCATAGACTCTGAAAGTTTTGGTGAAAAGAAAGGTGTCAGCTGAGAAAGCAGAGACAGAACACTTGTGACCATCATAAACGTATCGATGTTTCAATGGGAAGTGTGGGCCTGCTTTTGGCTGATGAGAGAGTCAAGTTAATTAGGACTGTTGTGGTTGTTGGGTGCCTTCAAGTCATTTCAGAGTGAGAGTGACTCTAAGGCTAAAGTTTAGGATGGAGGCTGGCAAAGGGCCAGCCTCCTGTGGAGGGCCACAACCAGCTTGCAGACCATTGCTTTGGGACCTCTGGTCACACGTATCTCCATTATGTTTCCTTATGTTCGCTGTTGTCCATTGTCTCCCTGAATCCAGATCGCTGGATGGCCGGCTGCAGGTCTCCCACCGGAAGGGCCTCCCACACGTCATCTATTGCCGTCTCTGGCGCTGGCCGGACCTCCACAGCCATCATGAGCTGCGTGCCATGGAAATGTGTGAATACGCCTTTAACATGAAGAAGGACGAAGTCTGTGTAAATCCGTATCATTACCAAAGAGTGGAGACGCCAGGTAGGAACAGGGGAAACATACCCCTATTGACTCGAACCAAATGCTCACCTTTTTGGGCTAGATGATGACTTTCTCGAACTGAGGGTGCGCATTAGATTGATGTAATACTGTCATATTAATGCTGAACCCTAGCCAAAGGGCAAGCTGCTTTAGGAGTTTCTCTTTAAGGGACCTCATCTCTCATTTACTCAATGCTATGCAATCCTGGGGTTTGTAGTTTGGTGAGGCATCAGCATTCATTTGGTAGAGCAGGCTCAAGACCTTGCCAAACTACACCCCCTATGACTCCATAAGATTGAATCAAGACAATTAAAGTGGATTCATTTTAGAATATAGATGCACCCCAAGATTTTCCTTTCAATCGCTGGAAGCTTTGGTGTTCTAACACTTCAGTTTTTAAAGAAAGAATCCTAAATATAATAATAATAATAATAATAATAATAATAATAATAATAAGGATTGTTGATGTTGCAATCCCAGGCGACAGCAGGATTGAAGAGAAACAATTGGAAAAGCTGACACAATATGAGGATTTAAAGGTGGAACTTCAAAGACTCTGGCACAAGCCAGGCAAGGTGGTTCCAGTGGTGATTGGTGCATTCAGTGCAGTGCCTCAAAACCTTGGCCTGCACTTAAAAACAATCAGCGCTGACAAAAATACCATCTGTCAACTGCAAAAGGCCACCCTACTGGGAACTACATGCATTATTCGCCGATATATCATACAGTCCTAGACATTTGGGAAGTGTCCGACGTGTGATCCAATACAACAGCCAGCATAGTGATTTTGTTTGCTGTGTACTAATCTTGTTGTGTTTCAAATAATCATAATCATAATACACTTTATTTATATTATGCTTTATCTCCCTGGAGGGACTCAGAGCGGATTACAGTATATACACATATAAGGCAAACATTGAGTGCCTTTTACACAGTGAACAACAATGACATACAATACACAGACACTGGTTATTGTTGTTGTTGTCAGTATAACTATAATTATTAAATTATTAATATAATAATATCTAATAATTATATTATAATATGCAATGTGTTTGAGGAAGCACGAGCATAGAAGGCGAAAACCTTTGTGAAACTGAAACTCCCGGGATTCTATGACTCCCAAAGTGGTGTCAAACTGCATTCAGTATAAATGCACTTTCAGAGGGGTATTTCAGCCTTTTAGAGTTGGAAGAAGGCCATATAGAAGATGGAGAATCACCACCCAATATTTGGTAACTATTTGGAGAAGCCTTATTTGTGGATCCCCATGTTATGCCATCCTGAGTCCCCCTTCGGGGGTTGAGAAGAGACAGGGTACAAATGCCAGTAATAAATAAATAATATGACACATCCTCTTGCTCAAAAACCTCAGGCCCCAAAGCGCAACAGAGAGCCATGCCAGATGTCACCATTGTTGCTCTTTCGTTGTTCCTTTCACCAGTGTTACCTCCCGTCTTGGTGCCGAGGCACACGGAGATTCCTGCCGAGTTTCCTCCGCTGGACGACTACAGCCATTCAATTCCGGAGAACACTAACTTCCCAGCTGGCATCGAACCTCAGAGCAACTACATTCCAGGTATTACTTTTCCACCCAAAGAAAGAGCTTTGCAGGGCCTTTTTGGTTGCTGCTCCAAGGCTCTCGCCCTCCCTCCATCTACAGGAGAAGAAAGGAATTTGCTTTGGATTAATAACAACTCTGTTTCTCTTTTCCTACAGAGACCCCTCCACCAGGCTACTTGAGCGAGGATGGGGAAAGCAGCGAACACCAGATGAACCATAGCATGGATGCAGGTAAGATGGTCTTGTAATATTAGTTTTGCTCCACTTCTCATCTCTTGGATCCATGAAAAGCTATTTTTAGTCCTTGTTAAGAGCTAATCTGGCTTGATGGCAGTCTATGTGAGAGGGATCTAGGTGTCTTTAGTAGACCACAAGCTCAGGGTCTCTTCCGACTCTACATTTCTATGAGTCTATAACAAAAGGAGTTTGATAAGTTAGCAATTTGATGTCTTGCATTGGTTTCATAATTCTTCTCTAAGTGGGACTATCAGTCGCAGGGAGAGAATCATGTGGTTCTCTGGATAGTGTTGGACTGCATCTCCCAGCATTCCTCACACAGGCTTTGTAGGCTGTGGCTGCTGGGAATTTAACTCCAACAAGATTCAAGTCCAAGGAAGCTGCCTCTCTACTGGAGCCAAAGTAACCTTTCCAGAGCTCTGAATAATAATAATAATAATAATAATAATAATAATAATAATAATAATAATAATAGGTGGGATCACAAACCAGAAAAAGTTACAGAGAATGAACATGTCAAACTACTCTGGGACTTCCAAATTCAGACACAGAGTTTTGGAGCAGAATACTCCTGACCTCACAATCATGTTAACAAACAAAGTATGGATTGTCGATGTTGCAGTCTCAGGCAACAACAAGATTGAAGAGAAACAACTGGAAAAGCTGACACGATATGAGGATTTAAAGATCGAACTGCAAAGACTCTGGCACAAGCCTGTCAAGGTGGTCCCAGTGGTGATCAGCACACTGGGTGCAGTGCCTAAAGACCTTGGCCTGCACTTAAACACAATCGGCGCTGACAAAATTACTATCTGCCAGCTGTAGAAGGCCACTTTACTGGGATCTGCACACTTTATTTGCCGATACATCACACAGTCCTAGACACTTAGGAAGTGTCCGACGTGTGATCCAATACAACAGCCAGCAGAGTGTCTGCTGTGGACTCATCTTGTTGTGTTTCAAATAATAATAATAATAATAATAATAATAATAATAATAATAATAATAATAATAATAATGGGTTGCTGAGAATTTTGGGGGCTATGTGGCTTTGACAATACAGTAACAACAACAACATGTAACATGATTTTTGTTCCTGAGTTATTAATGCCATTTCTTAATTGGTTCTATCATAAAAACATGGAAAAAGTTTATTCAACTGCAAAAACTTGGTTTCTGTGGGAGGGACAGTCTGCTATAGCACATTTTGCTCTAGGCTTTCAATGAATATCTCATGGAGTCTCAACCAATTCAACCCAGTTTGTGGCAGCCACAAAAAAAGAAGTTTCTGGTGTAGAACAATTACTTTCAAAGTAAGGACTGCACAATTAAACAGGAAATAACACTTTCAAACCAGGAACAGTACCTTTTTTCAAATTTTGTTATAATCTCTCACTGTATATCTAACAGCTGACCTTAATTTCATTGCTCTTCCCACTTAGGTTCTCCAAATCTGTCTCCGAATCCGATGTCTCCGGCGCACAATAATTTGGGTAAGCAAGGTGCTTGAAAATGTGTTGTCAAAGACTTTCATGGCTGGAATAACTGGGTTGCTGTGAGTTTTCCGGATTGTATGGCCATGTTCCAGAAGCATTCTCTCCTGACATTTCACCAACATCTATGGCAGGCATCCTCAGAGGTTGTGAAGTATATTGGAAACTAAGAATGGAGGCTTATATATCTGTGGAAGATCCAGGGTGGGGGAAAGAACTCTTGTATGTTGGAGACAAGTGTGAATGTTGAAATTAATCACCTTGATTAGCATTGCAAAGCCTTGCAGCTTCAAGGCCTGGCTGCTTCCTGCCTGGGGGAATCCTTTGTTGGGAGGTATCAGCTGGCCCTGGTTGTTTCATGTCTGGAACTTCCGTTTTCAGAGTGTTGTTCTTTATTTATTGTCCTGATTTTAGAGGTTTTAAATACTGGTGGTCAGATTTTGTTCATTTTCATAGTTTCCTCCTTTCTGTTGAAATTGTCCAAGCGCTTGTGGACTTCAATGGTTTTTCTGTGTAGTCTGACATAATGGTTGTTAGAGTGGTCCAGCATTTCTGTGTTCTCAAATAATACTCTGTGACCAAGTTGGTTCATCAGGTGCTCTGCTATGGCTGGGCTCCTCAGGTTGGTTTAGTCTGCAGTGCCTTTCATGTTCCTTGATTTGTGTCTGGACATTGCTGCTGTGTTTGGTGGCCTCTTATGTAGACTTGTCCACAGTTGCATTGCACATGGTCGACTCCTACAGAGGTGAGAGGATCCCTCTTGTCCTTTGCTGAATTTAGCATGTGTTGGATTTTCTTTGTGGGTCTGTAGATAGGTTGTGTTTCTTCATCAGCTTCACTATGCGCTCAGTGGTTCCCTTGGTGTATGGCAAGAACACTTTTCCTCTGGGTGGATTTTTGTCCTTATTCTTGTGGCTTGGTCTTGGTCTTGCAGCTCTTCTGGTGTCTGTGGTGGAGTCTCTCTTTGCCTGGAGAGACCAGTTTAGGTGGTTCAGGTCATCTAGGAGGAGGTGAACTGAACCACCTCCTTCAAGCTTACACAGCTGAGGGGGAAATGGAAGGATGGGAGTTGTGGGAGTTGAAGTCCAAAACACCTGGAGGGAGGGCCGGAGTTTGCCCATGCCTGAGCTGGACCATTTTATTTATTTATTTATTTATTTTGTATCAAACGCATTGCATAAATTAGTATAAAACTGATAAAAAAAGAAGGAGCACAGGTGGCTGAATACCTTTTGACCAAAAACGGGCAACAGCGATGGCATTGTCTGTATCCTCCAACAATTCTTCCTCTGTACATGAGGCAGGGCATAGTGGACAAGCATACAGATGCGGAGTTGTCTGTTCTGCTCCACAGTCACATAAGGTGTGGGATTCTTTTAGATAGTGCCATTTTGCCAGGTTGTCTTTTGATCTGCCCTCTCTGCTTCCGAGTCTGTTTCAGGGACTTCCAAGTTGCCCATTCTTGGTTTGCGCATGGAGGAAGACCCTCATGGGGTGTGGGGCATCCAGCTGGGATTTCCTGGTTTAGCTGCCCAGAGGGATACAGCAACTTCCCATCACACATCCCTGGGGGGGGGGGGGATGCTAGCTATCTTGTATGGTTTATCAACAGGTGTAGGTTTAAGACATCCTGTGATTATTCTGCATGTTTCATTCAATGCTGTGTTCACCTGCTTTGACCTATGCCAAACAGGGCAGGCATACTTGCCAGTTGAGTAAGACAAGGCTAGGGCTGATGTTCCTACATATTTTGGGTCTGGACCCCATGTGCTGCCAGTAAGTTTCTGCAGGATGTTATTGCGTGCAGCTACTTTGTGCTTGGTGTTCAAGCAGTGTTTCCTATATGCTAGTGTTCGATCTAAGGTGACACTGAGATATTTAAGGTGGAAACAATGTGCAAGCTCTTGACCTTCCCAAGTCACTTTCAATTTCCTATTGGCTTCATGGTTGCGTAGGTGGAAAGCACACACTTGTGTCTTGGCAGGGTTAGGCTTCAGGTAGCTGGAGAGATCTTTCAAGACATTAGTAAGTTGGATTTCAACTGTTTCAAAGTCTTTTGCTTGTGTTGTTAGTTAGACCAATGGTTCTCAACCTGGGGTCCCCAGATGTTTTTGGCCTTCAACTCCCAGAAATCCTAAAAGCTGGTAAACTGGTTGGGATTTCTGGGAGTTGTAGGCCAAAAACATCTGGGGACCCCAGGTTGAGAACCACTGTGTTAGACCAAAGTCATCAGCATATATAAAGCTGGATGATGAAATGTTGGAGAGGTCTCTTCTCTCTCCTGTGCCTTGCATTTCTAGTCTCCAGCGTTGTTTTTACCTTCCTCCTCACAAGTCTTGCCTCTACACCTACAATCTCTTAGCCTTAATTAATTTGGTGTCCTCCAGCCATACGCTCAATGATTTAATTAGCTGCTTACCTTGAAAACAATAGCACTTAAACCTCCTCAGGTGTAGAGGTGGAATTGTGAAACTGAGTGGATTCGTTTTTTATTAGATCCTGATGTGAAATGGACTGGATTCGCAATCAGGCATTCAAAGGCGAAATGGATGGGATTTACAGCCTGGTCCACCATCATTATCATGTTTCCTCAGAAGGAAGTTTCGCTGAAGTCCTCTTGCCCTGTCCTGCAGGCACACTCGCGTGTTTTATTTTAAATGCACCCCTATATGCAACTAAACATTGCTTCAAGCACTATATGTGCATGCCGTTCTGACGCTGTGAAAGTGGCTGTGAGTGTTGACCATTTTAAAATACCAATGCCGTGACTAGTGAGAAGATATCAAACGTAGGGTTGCTGTGAGTCTTCTGGGCTGTATGGCCATGCTCCAGAAGCATTCTCTCCTGACGTTTCACCCACATGTATGGCAAGCATCCTCAAAGGTTGTGAAGTCTGTTGGAAACGAGGCAAGTGGGGCTTATATATCTGTGGAATAATGTCCAGGGCGGGAGAAAGAACTCTTTTCTGCTTGAGGCAAGTGTGAATGTCACCATTGGCCACCTTGAATATTTATTATTATTTACTTATTTACTACATTTATATACCGCTTTTCTCCCCCTGAGGGAACTCAAAGCTGTTTCCGACACCATAAAGGCAAAATTCAATGCTGTATATACATGTGAAAACCAAAACATAATAGCTAGACAAAACATATAACTATAAATTACAAACATAACCATATTAAAACATAAAACATAATATTTAGACATAAAAATTAAAACATCGATAATACAATATTTATTTAGAACTTTTAAATCCCATTCTTCTCTACCTCCATGGAGGGAGCCAGAACGGCTAACAGCAAAATTCAGTGCTATACAATAAATAATGTCATAAATGTCATAAAACACGTAGGACCTTGGTGGAAACTATAGTAATAGTAGTAATAATAATAATAATAATAATACTTTATTTATATTCCACTCTTTTCCCCATGGGAAGTCAGAGCAGATTACAGTATAAACAGATACCGGCAATCATTCAGATGCCTTGTATTGTCGAAGGCTTTCATGGCCGGAATCACTGGATTGTTGTATGTTTTTGGGTGGATGGCGTTGAGGTGGTCCAGGAACTTGTTTAGTTCTTCTCCTCCATGGCTCTGAATGGTGAAGGTATCATCCATATATCTGAACCATATAGTGGGCTTTTTGTTGCTGTTTCCAAGGCTTGTTTTTCAAAGTGTTCCATGTAGAAATTTGCTATGGTTGGGTTGAGAGGGCCCCCCATAGCTACTCCATCTTTCTGTTCATAGAATTCATTGTCCCACTGAAAGTAGCTAGTGGTGAGGCAATGGTGAAACAGAGTTGTGATGTCTTCTGGGAACTTCTGGTCGATTAGAGTGATGGTGTCTGCTACTGGGATCATGGTAAATAGAGACACCACATCAAAGCTGACCAGTTTGTCATTGGTATTTAGCTTGAGGGTTAGAGTTAGGGTTTTTTCTTCTTCTTGTAATGCTATGAGTCATAGAAACACAAACAAAGGCAGAGGCTTCTCCTTTCATTTCCGGCTGTTGAGGGAATGCTCATCGCTGGCTTGGAGGTGCTGTTCTCCATTTCCAAGCCGAGTAGCTTGCGTTGTCACCTCCTGGTCATGTGACCGGCATGACAACTTGGATTGTCTTAGGTACTGCTTTGGCAGGAAAGGCATATTTATCTACTCATATTTGCATGTTTTCGAACTGCTAGGTCAGCTGGAGCTGGGCTATCAGCGGGAACTCACCTTATGCCGCAGATTTGAACTGCCGACCTTCAAGTCAGCAGTTCAGTAGCACATGGGTTTAACCGAGGTCTTGGGAGAAAGTTCCTGATTTTATCACTTCTCCGTTTCCCTTCCAGATCTTCAGCCAGTCACTTACTGTGAGCCCGCCTTCTGGTGCTCCATATCATACTATGAGCTTAACCAGAGAGTCGGGGAGACCTTCCATGCTTCCCAGCCTTCAATGACTGTGGATGGCTTCACCGACCCATCCAATTCAGAGCGCTTTTGCCTGGGCCTGCTGTCCAACGTCAACCGAAATGCTGCCGTAGAGCTCACCCGCCGACACATCGGTAACATTCCTTAGGAGCATCCCTTGCCTTTGTCTTTTGCAGCTCTGTTGCTTTGGTGAAGCATCGACTGGCTGGGGGCTTATGGGCAATTGGTGTTCATAGAGGTCGCATGTACAGGTTGAGTCTGTTAACCACATTCTTGCTCGTAACTTGGGGACTGTGTGTATTTGCCTATCTATCGTGAATTATCTTAAAGAGGGGACCAAAATCTGAACATGGAACTCATTTCCATATACACAGAGCCTGAAGAAACGAAAGGCTGTTTCAAAGTGCTTTGTTGTTCTTTTGTTTACCTGAAATCAGTCTGTGTAACTTTAATTACACCGCAGACGCTCAGGCTTTATTACCTGCATTGCAGCCCTTCATGCATGCTTGTTTTCTAACTCTGTTTCTTCTCATTAGCCCTTCTGATTAGTTAATTCTTGCCCACAGGCAAAAGACCAAGGCTGGGTCTACTCTAAAGCTCAGTTTCTCAGTTGCCCACACAAATTGCTCTGATTAAGGCAACTGTCTATTTTGCTGAAGCCACAGAGACTTCATCACTCAAAAGTCAAAAGTAGTTTGCTGGGCATCTTTCTGGAGGACTTTAATATATATTCCTTCATGGTAGTTGTTCTGATCCCTTCCAAGCCACATCGGCCGTCTTGTCCTAATACTTCCATTCTCTTTTCCCAGGGAGAGGTGTGAGGCTATACTACATCGGCGGAGAGGTATTTGCTGAGTGCCTGAGCGACAGTGCCATCTTCGTCCAGTCCCCCAATTGCAACCAGCGCTATGGATGGCATCCGGCCACCGTCTGCAAGATCCCGCCAGGTAACTCAACTTGGCTTCCTGCTTTCCAGGCCCTGTCAGCCCTTTTTCCTCTTGAGGTAAACCCTGTAAGAAGCGTTGGGGACTTATCTACAATGCACAACAATATCACTTCAATCCCACTTTTAACTATCTTGGCTGCATCCTATGGAATCCGGGGATATCTAGTTTGGTAGAGGCACTAAAGCTCCAAGGAGAAACCATTCCACAACAAGGGGGACAATGGAGAGAAGGCCCTGCTCTCACACCCCTCCTTTGTGACCACAACCCTTCCATCTGACCTCGGTCCTTCAGTAGGTATCGATGGGGAGGACTGCTCCTTTGAACATCAGGCCCCAAGTCTATTTGGATGTGATTGGTAGGTAGGACCCTGTTCTGCAAAACTGCCATCAGTCCCCTACCCAATGTGGGTCATTTCCCTTTGTGGTGAAAAGGGCAAAAGTGTGTATTTCCAATGACCCCTGGGTTGTGGGTTTCCATATCTTCCACAGGATGTAACCTGAAGATCTTCAACAACCAGGAATTTGCTGCTCTCTTGGCCCAGTCTGTGAATCAGGGTTTCGAGGCTGTCTACCAGCTGACGCGCATGTGCACCATCCGGATGAGCTTTGTCAAGGGCTGGGGTGCGGAATACAGGTCAGAGAAGAGGGAGTTACACAATGGGAGGGAAGGCTGTCTTTCTCCTTCCTTCCTTCCTTCCTTCCTTCCTTCCTTCCTTCCTTCCTTCCTTCCTTCCTTCCTTCCTTCCTTCCTTCCTTCCTTCCATTTTCCTTTATTCCTTCCCTTCTCCCTCCCCCCTCCTTCCTTCTTTCTTCCTTCCCTTCTCCCTCTCTTCCTTTCCTTTCTTTTGTTTCTTCCCTTCTCCCTCCATCTTCCTTCTATCCATCCGTCTTCTTTCCTTTCTAACTTCCCTCCATCTATCTATCTATCTATCTATCTATCTATCTATCCATCCATTCATTCATATTTCCTTCCTTCCACTCATCTTCTCTTTCTTCTGTCCTTCCTCTCTCCAAATTTCCTTTTTCCCCTCCCACTTTCCTTTCATCCTTCTTCCTTCCTTTCTTTCTCCTTTCCTTTCTTCCTTCCCTCCTTCCTTCCATCCATCCATCCTTCCTTTTCATCCACCCATCCATCTTCCTTCCTTTCCCTCCTTCTTCCTTCCTTGCTTCCTTCCTTCTTTCCTTCCATCTTCCTCCCTCCCTCCATCCTTTCTTTCCATCCATCCTCCCTTCTTCCCCTCCTCCCTCCCTCCTTCCATTCACCATCTTCCCTTCCTTCTGCCCTCCTTCTCTCCACATGCCCTTCCTTCCATCTTTTCTTCTCCCCTCCTTTCCCTTTTCTGAGCAGCTGGCTCTGGAGCCCGTCCCCAGGATCGAGCAGAGCTCTCCGGTTACCTCTGGGCCACTTCTCCAGATGTCTGGAGTCCATCTTGTTTTGAAATCAGCTCCCTGACTGCTGGGCCGGCTTTTCAGTCTTGGCTGAAGTCCTACGGTTCATAATGGGATCCAGATGAGCGAGTCGTACGGGGTGGGGAGGGCCTGGCTCGAGACCCAACCCAGAGCAGAGCACTGGTTTGTGCTTTTGGCCTTGGCCTGCGAGTGAGCAAACGTCAGGGCCGCGAGGCTGCTGTGTCCAGAGGTCTCTTGCCAGCGCAAAAGCTCTGAGATGCTCCTCTGCCATTTTCCAACTCTTTGAGTTGAGGTCTGCGTTGTGCTTTTTAAAAAAAAGTTGTTTTGGGGGTTGTGCAATGGTTGGCTTTTTTTCTGGATGTGGTGGCTCTCCTGGAAGATGGCAGGGCAACCAAAATGAAAGGTTATGGTTCTTAGGGACCTTTAAGAAACGTAGCTGCCAACCCTTATTCTCATCTGAAGTGTGTGTGTGTGTGTGTGTGTGTTTGAACTGTGTATTCTTGAAAGCCTCAGTTTTAGAGGTACCCTGCAGTATTGAACACTTTTTGCATCTGGTTCCTGGTTGTCTCCAAACAGTGCCAGTCTTCTGAACAGGCAATGACTTAGGCTACAGAATTTCCTTTGAAAAGCTTGGAAAAGCAGCCCATTCCATTGGCCAAAGTGGGACAAATCTGTGCGCTTTGGCACGCTCGTCATCCTTTTCTTTCTCTCCTTTTCCTTTCCAGGCGGCAGACAGTCACCAGCACTCCTTGCTGGATTGAGCTCCACTTGAACGGCCCGCTGCAGTGGCTGGACAAGGTCCTCACGCAGATGGGCTCCCCGAGCATCCGCTGCTCCAGCGTCTCTTAGGCAGGAAAAAGCTGCGGCATGGAAGCCAAGACTCAGAAATCTCTGGCTTGGAACAAACTCCATCAGTCCCTTACCTGAGAGCAATTTTTTTTCTCCAATCGTCTGTCTGAAAAACTGGTGGCCATGAAAAAAGAGAACATTGGGGTTGTGTCCTTTCCAGCTCAGCTCTCCACGGTGACTGTTCCTTCCTTTCAGTCGAAAATAAACCCAGTCGGAGACATCTTGCATGTGAGATCAAGGCACTTCACCCAAACTCTAGATGCATTAGAGGAAATGCTTTGATTTTTTTGCTGTGTCGTGTTGGGGAATTCTGTTGCCGCCATATTAGTCGCTGTCTGCAGCAGTTTTAGGAGGGGAGAGTCCATGTTTTGGGTTTTCTCCTCTTCCCCACTTGGATGGAGGACATCCTCCTGGAACTGCTTGTCAGGAAGGATCCACCACCCCTTGTCAACATTCCCATCATAAGCATTGACTTCCTGGGATCGTTTCTGTTCAACCTTGAGCAGGAAAGCTCTTGGAAATAACATCTGACTGGAAGAGATCCAGAGGCTGTCTTGCAGCAGAGACAGCTTTAAGTTGTCATTGCAGTGACTTCAAGGTGGTACCTCATGCCACACCTCATGCCCACATTGGGGCAATTTTTCCCTCTTCTGGAAATGATTCAAGAAAGGGAGACCTTGCTGCTTCCTCCAGAGACCTTTGTGGCATTTGCTAGCTTTCATGGTCCTCCTCGCATTGTTTTAATCCATTCCTGGATCATCCGTATGACGTGCCAGAGTCCCTGACAGCTAAAGATGGCCTTGAAGGGGGCAGATTTCTTTTGGAGATGACGTTCCACAAAGAGAAAAGCAAAACACTCCTGTTCCAATGATTGTCTTGCCTTCAATGTTTTTTTCTCTTCTGGAAATGGTTCAGGAAAGGGAGACCTTGCTGCTTCCTCCAAAGGCTTTTGTGGCATATGCTAGCCTTGCATTGTTTTCATCCACTCCTGGATCATCTGCATAATGTGCCAGATCCCCTGAGAGCTAAAGGTGGCTTTGGAGGTTCCAGATTTCATTGGGAGATAAGGTTCCACAAAGAGAAAAGCAAAACACTCATGTTCCAATGATTGCCTTGCCTGAGTTCGGCCAGGAAGCGTGGATGGGATTTGGAGATCTGCAGGCAGCTCGAGTCTCCTGTTTCATGCAGTTTTCAAGAGCACAGATTCCTCCAACCCGCCCTGCCCTTCTTTTGCTATTTCGGTTCAACCAGTCTCTTTGGCAGGACACCTGAGAGTGTCGCTGGCTCTTTATGTCCAGACTTTGAAAAAATTGTTTTGGAAGTCCTAAAAGGCTGCATGCCTGAGATGGTTCCAGAGAGAAAACCATTTGGGACACCTTGTGGCCATTGTAGGACTCAAGAGTACTGAAAATTCAACCATGGAATTTAGGGCTTCATCTTCACCCCAGTTATATTTGCAACCTGGAGTCAGGGGGGATTCCAGACATTCATTTAAAAAGCGCTTTTCAAAATGCCATACCTATTTAGGGCCACAGAGAGTGCCTTTACATTTCAGGCAAATATTTGAAACAAGTCCATAGCTCCAACTTTGAAAGGACTAGCTGCCAAAAATTAGGATTGTATGGATTCATGCGAAAAGGGGTGCCTTCGTGGACACCTAGAAAAATAAAAAAGGGCCCCATGCACTGATTTGAATTGCTAGAGAAGAGCCATCACCTCTGTGGGATGGAAACTTTCAGACATTGTGTTGAGACAGTAGGTTTGCTTTGGTTGCAGTTCGCTTTTTGCCTATCGAATGGGGCTGGTTCTTGCAAGCCTTGGGAAATTATACAGGTGTGTTTGTAAAAGGAGAAAGCACCCCCCCCCCCCCCAGATAAATATTTTTGCTCATTTAAGGAGGAGAACATTATTTTTCTGTATTTTCTTAAGGGGTTGTGCCAAGAACACCCTGTCCTTTGGATGTCTGTTTGAGTCATGTAGATCTTGTATTCGCCTGCGACAAAATAGTTTTGCTTGATGTTTAGAATCAAATAACATGCCCCCTCCCCAACTGTTTTGGAACTGCAACTCCCAGCATGCTTAGCCACTCACATTGCTAGATAGTGCTGCTGGAAGTTGTAGTTCACCATCATCTAGAGCAGTGTTTATCAACCTGGGGGTTGGGAACCCTGGGGAGTCACCGGGGGGTGTCAACAGGATCACCAAAGGCCATCAGAAAACACCAGGTCCAAAACACCAGGAGGGCCCAAGTTTGCCCAAGCCTGGTCTAAAGCATCCAGTATTCATTGTTTGTCAAAACTTTGCAGATACAGGGTACAACCTAGAAAAAAATATTTAAGTGCACTTAAGACATTCCTCTTGGCTGCACCTATACATTGTGCCTTGCCCCAGAGAGCAGCTGAGGAGATGCGCAAAGAGAGGCCCTGTTTGAAAGGTTGAAAAGCACCATCCTCCATGAGAGATAGTTGGATCAAATAAGCACAAGAGTGCTGCCCACATGATAATCTCAAGGCACTGCCTTGACTTTTCCCCATTTTGGCTTACCTGCCCTTTGAGTTTGTATCAATGCAAATGCACAGCTATTTCCTTGACTAGAAGTGAACACTTTGCAGGCCGTTTGTGGCCCCGGGTTTGTGAGTTGAATCTCCCATCTTTAAAAACACCATTCTTTCCTTGAGGGACTGGCATAAAGCACTTGAGCCTTGCTGGTTGACTGTCTTGTCGCTTTCGTGTGCCACGTTCCAACTCTAAAAAGAGAAGCCTTTGAGTAAGCAACGTGGAATCAAGTACATGTCCTTTCCTCCTTTGAATATGTTCTTAGATTGAGCCACTGGCTCACGGGAAACTGCCCGATATTGCATTCATGTGCGATGTGGCCCGTTCTGTCTATAAGACAACAAACACGACGCAGCTTTCAAACTTGTACAGAACTTTTTTTTATGTAGCACCAATGGGATTGTATGCATTATCCATACTGGAATCTTTTAGCTGAACTCATTTGGCGACTGGGAAAGGACTACCCGACACTTGAGGCATGCGTGCCTCTTATACGGCTGCTGGCGGACGTACCCAGGTGGCCTTGACCAACCATCTCTCTCTCTTTTTTAATGTGGTTAGTGACAAAACTTAATCTCTGTGTTGTTTTCATTAATGTATTGAAGAAAGCTGCAGAATGCATTATCCTTACTATTATTATTTTTTCTACTATTATTATTATTTGCAGAGTTTAAGGCCTGTGCTTTCAAACTTAATCGGTAGCAATAAGTTGCAAAAGGAATGGGGAAATTCTGTCTTGAGGCCAGCAAGGCACTCATATGGGACAGTTGTGAGAATATAGGAATGTGGTTTCGTTGAAAGGCTGCAGCAAAAATGTGTTTTTGAGGGGAAAACCCAATTCACGCTCGAACCATCACTTCCCTGAGACCAGTTTCTGTCAGGAGAGAGGTTGGGTTTGCAAGAAGGATCTGAATGGCTTGACTCAAGAGATTTCCCACTACATCCAACTACTACGAAGATTATTTCTAGGATAGAGAGAAATGAAGTAACCCCTTTTATATCAAGTAGCAAATTTCAATCTGCGTGGGTGAAACGTTTAATAGTCTTCTCGATTTCCTTAGTTACACAATGCTTTTTGTTAATAAGAGGAAATATTTGAAATTTTGTCTGCAAAAATATGTTTTCTGGGGGATTTGAAGATTCATCAATCTTGAAAACACACACACTATGGACGAAACTGGATTTGGACGGCATCGAACCACAAACTCAAGGGAGAGGCAAAGAGGACCATTCACTCCAATTTCTGCAAAGCCAACAGAAAAGGACTGGATTTTGGGCAGATTGTGTATTATGTCCCTGCAATATTGGAGTCTCAGTGGTTGCCCTCACCTCGTTCTATCATATTTGATACATACATCACACTTGCTATTGGTGCCGCTATGGAGCATCTCTTATTTCAGATAGGCTTCAGCAAAGGCCCTTGGAAGAGATTTTGAAAATCTGGGTCGCAGAAGTATTCTCTGCATTCTCTTCTGGATGACCCAGTGCTCCATAGTATTCCCAAATGGGTTGATTCTCCTTCCAAGTCCACTTCTCTGCAAATGGTCATTCATTTCATGCAGCATTCAAGGCTGTCCTATGTTGTTTTGACTTATTTTAAAATGGGGTTAATATTTTGGCTCATTGATTTCTCTCTCCAACATGTTTGTTTCCTTCTTTTATACCTGAGATTGGTGCATTAATGAACCTTTGCTTGTCCTCTGTGGGTCTTTAGCCCTGCTAAGCTTATTTTTTATTAAAAGCCTATATCATCCATTCCTTATGGGAAAGTGTTTGGTTTGGTTTGTCGCTCGAATGAACTTTTTGTGACATTTTCCCAGGTTTCAAAGGGGTAGGACGACAGGAAGCTGCATTTCAAGCAGACTTTATTTGAGTCATTTATGGGTCACTGAAAAGATACAAATCCCTTCTGTGAAGTGTCTCAACCACAATCTATAGCAAACCTCTCCCCCAGAAGCCTGTGTCATCAATGGAAATGGTGCAGGAATCTTGCACATCTCTTATGGAACGGAATAACCAAACAGATTGGGCCCGGGTTTGCTCCAAAAAGCAGAAAAGCAAGCTCTCCCTGCTTTCACATTACTCACTGAGATGATGTTTCTGGACCCCAAATCTAACTGGATTCCTTTTGTTTCAAAGGACTTCCACCAACTGGGAACAGTCTTGCACTAACAGCAGTTGAGGATTCCCTCTCTTCCGGGGAAATGAATCATTTTGTTCTGGCAACTAAGGAAATGTCAGAGACGAAGACAGATCTCTGGAGAATATATACACACCATACGTTATTTGACTGCAAACCAACTACATCCCCATATGCACTTAAATCCTTCTCTGCAGGATTGGAAGGACTAAAGGCAGGCCTGCATATGTGGCCCACGGGCAGATTATGGCCCTCACAAGGCTTTGGTGCGGCCCTTAAAGACTCTGTGGCTAAGCCTAAGAGAGGGAGGTCATATGCAGTGCTGCAGGACAGTAGTCACTGGAATCTGCCATTCCTTCCTCTCTCTTCTACATGTTTCCTTTCTCTATGCAGCAAAGTTACCAAACTTCGCTGCATAGATCCAGCCAGGAGGCTGGAACTGGTGGTTTCTTTTGGAAACATGGCCTGGGAGGTTGTTGGACTCAGGCTGAGGTAATGGGGAGCAGAGGATGAAATCATAAGGGGTATCAAGCTGGAATGTGTCCAGAGGAGGGCGACTAAAATGATCAAGGGTCTGGAGAACAAGCCACATGAGGAGCAGCTTAAAGAGCTGGGTATGTTTAGCCTGAAGAAGAGAAGGCTGAGAGGAGACATGATAGCCATGTATAAATATGTGAGAGGAAGTCATAGGGAGCAAACTTGTTTTCTGCTGCCCTAGAGACTAGGACGTGGAGCAATGGCTTCAAACTACAAGAAAGGAGATTCCATCTGAATATGAGGAAGAACTTCTTGACTGTGAGAGCCGTTCAGCAGTGGAACTCTCTGCCCCAGAGTGTGGTGGGGGCTCCTTCTTTGGAAGCTTTTAAACAGAGGCTGGATAGCCATCTGTTAGGGGTGATTTGAATGCAATATTCCTGCTTCTTGGCAGGGGGTTGGACTGGATGGCCCATGAGGTCTCTTCCAACTAAGATTCTATCAGACCTTAATCTGGGTTTATAAACACCTCAGAAGTGAAATGGTACACAACACTTTTCCCCTTCCATTTGTTATTGCCATGATTTCCTTTCTAGCTACCAACAGAAGTAGCTTTTCAAGACAAGGACTCTTGAAAAGCATGTATTTTTAATTCTTCTTGCCTGCAACAACCACACTAGGATGATAAGTATGCAAAACAAAAGATTAGCATCAATATACTGTTTTTCCGATGCAAAATACTCTTCTGGGCAAGCACATCCAAAGAAATCCCATCTTCTCTATTCCACCCCAAAGTTACTGCTGATAGTTCCCATCCGCTCCATCCCTCCCAGGATTTTGATCTCTGCTTTGAAATGAAGACAAATGAACAGCTCACAAACTAGAAAGTAAGACAGATAGGGTTTCTAGGAAGGTCTTTTCATTTGAGGTGGGCCATGATTTGCTTCCCTAGGATGACCAGAACAGGCCTCCTATTTTGTTGGCTTCACCTCCTGGTCTCCCCACGAATGAATCCAGCAAGCTGACAGCCATCACATTTCCAGAGCAGCAACAACATGCTGAAGGAGCGGCCTTCTTTCCAGTCTCTCAAACACTGCAAAAAACTAGGCCTTTTGTCAAAGGGGGAAAAAATGGTTCCTGCAACCAACAACCTGGTGGTGTTTGCAGCAGAACAACCCACATCCATTCCACAGCACAGCTGTTCTTGGCCCCTAGTTGTCCTCTTCTGAAGACAGGCCTTCAATCTCGTCTCTGTCTCCTCCGATGGCCATCCAGAAGGCTTTTGCCACCTGCGAGGGAAGGGTCAACAAGAAAAACTCAAACACCTAAGAAATCTTTGCAGCAGTAGATACAGAATATATTCTGGCAACTACTTCCACACATTTTCTATATCAGATTTTTAGATATAGAAATAGTCTGAAGGGACCAAAAAGGCCATCCAGTCCAACCGCATTCTGCCTTCATGCAGAAAAAACACAATAAAAACAACCCTTGTTGGGTGAGTGGGCTTATTAACAAAAGACCCTCCCCATGAATGTATAGGAGAGTAACTTAGCAGCAGCACCAATATCTCAAAGGGATAAAAAGAACAAAAACACACAGACCAAGGTTATCTCTTCCATAGGAGGCTTTTGTTTGTAGTAAAATAATACATATAGTTACACTATTTATAAGAACAAGGTTTCCATCACAAATAAAGTTCTTTATACTTCCTTCTTTGCTTCCATGCTGGGCTTCTTTCTCATGCAGATAAACAGCTTCGCTCTCACAGAGCCTCTTCTCATAATGAACTTACACAGAAGTTTCAACATAGTAGTATTTTACACAAAGCAGCCTTCATACTGGAGCTTCACACACAATAGCCTTCAACCTGGGGCTTCTCTCACTAAAGCTTCTCACACCAGGCCTTCCCAAACTGAGGCCTTTCTCTTACTGAGGCCTTCTCCCACTGAGGGTTCTCTCAGACCAAGGCCTTTTCCCCACAGAGGCGAGTTAACACTGAGGCCTCCTCATACTGAGGTCTACTAACAGACTGCGGTCCTTCTCCCACAGAGACCTTTCACAGACTGAGGGCTACTAAGCTTCAGGCACACCTGCTTATATTGAACATCAGCTTTTACTGAGTCATTGCATCCATTTAACCCTTTCGATGCTTCACGCACATTTTTGTAATTAAAAATACCTAGTTAATTTTCAATATTTCTAACAAAAGTGCCCCTGACACATTGCCATCCAGCCTGTTTAAAAGCCTCCAAGGAAGGAGCTTCAACCGCACTCAGAGGCAGAGTTCCACTGCTGAACAGCTCTTCTTACTGTCAGGAAGTTCTTCCTAAAGTTCAGATGGGATCTCCTTTCCTGTCATTTGAACCCATGGCTCCTTAGAGTCCTAGTTTCCAGGGCAGCAGAAAGGAAGCCTGCTCCCTCTTCCCTATGGCAACATTTCAAATCTTTCAACATGGCTCTTGTGACTCCTCTCAACCTTTTCTTCTGCAGGACAAACAATCCCAGATCCTCTTTAAGCTGCTCCTCAGAGAGCACATATGGCAAATCCAGCCCTCCCTGTTATTTTATGTGGCCCTCCTTCAAATATTGGAATATAAACCTTTATTTATATCCCACACCTATCTCCCTGAGGAAACTCAGGGATACAACACCTATATTCCTCCTCATTAGACATCATGACTAGTGCCGATGGGAGTTGGGATATAGGAACATCTGGGAGGCTGCAGTTTGTTCTGTTAAGTCAGAAGAGAGGGGTTTGGATTGAGATGCAATACTAGCAGATATGATGCCTAACTTCAATTGCCCAGTGGCACAATGGGTACACCCTTGTACCGGCAGGACTGAAGACCGACAGGTTGGAAGTTAGAATCCGGGGAGAGTGTGGATGAGCTCCCTCTGTCAGCTCCAGCTCCCCATGCAGGGACACGAGAGAAGCCTCTCACAAGGATCGTAAAAACATCAAAACATCAGGGCATCCCCTGGGCAATGTCCTTGCAGGTGGCCAATTCTCTCACACCAGAAGCGACCTGCAGTTTCTCAAGTCGCTCTTGACACACAAAAAATCACAAAAACTTCAGAATGTCCTTTAATCTTTTTCTTGACCTCAGAGCCACAAATGCTGTTGGGTTGCAATTCCCATTATCCACAGTCCGCACAACGGACAATCTCCTTAAAATTCCCTCCCTATCTCTAAAAGCTTTATAGAAACATTATAATATAATAATAATGTTATTATAATAATTTATATTATAATAACATTATTATTATATAATTTATATAACAATAATAATATAATAATGCCTTTTGGACTTCCGTCCTGTCTGGAACCCTCACCTTTTCTGCATGTAGCTTTCTCTGTTCATGAGGCAGTGTTGCTGCTTTTTCTGCAATGACAAAAAGCAAGAAATGTTACCTTCCTGGTTCGCCAAAAGTTGAACTAAGGCAGAATTGTTCCAGATTGGGCTGGAAAGAGGGTTAAGCCAAGGAAAAGACATACAACAAGACAAAACACAAAACAAGCACTGCGGCTCCCTTAGATTCTGCGGTTCAAGAATCAGAATGATACCCCAAATTCATTCCCACAACAGTTTTCGTGTTTTTTGTCTCGGCAGCAAAGAGAGATGTCCTACCTCAGGTGCCTCACTCGCAGAGATGCAGAATAAAAGCAAACTACACACAAGGAAGTACCTTTCATTTCCTTCAGCTTGGAGAATAGGCGCTCAAAGTTCTCCAGATCTCCTTCTCCTGCAGTGAGGCTAGCAAGTTCTTGGATGTCCATGTCCAGCACAGGGTCTACAAGAAGGAGGAAAGTGACATGGCTTTAGGGTATGTCTCCAATGCCAGGCAGTCTTGGATGATAAATACTTTGACCCATTTCAAACTGGCTTGAAATGGGTCAAAGTATTTATCTAAGAAGTATTTATCAAAGTATTTATCTAAGAAGTTGAGGCTGTTATGGTCACCTTTACGGATTATCTTTGCCTTAACACTGACAAGGGATGTATCCCATGGAGACCCCAAGAGAGAAATGGAAGAAGGTTCTGGGTTTCCCACAGGAAAGCTATGGAAGGTAAAAAGGACTCCCTCCACAGCCCCCTACCAAGGAAATGCCCTCTCACCAGCAGCAACGGGGCCTCTCTGCTCGCCTTCTGTGTCCGCTGGGTCTTCTCCTCTGTCATCAGAGGAGTCTGCGCTCTCGGCCAACAAGGGATGGGGCTAATGCAGACATAGAGAAACTGAGTTAGGTCCCTTCTACACAGCCATATAATCCAGATTATGAAAGCAGATGACCCACATGATGATGTGAGTCTACATGGCCAGATAATCCAGTTCAAAGCATATAATCTGGATTTTATATGGCAGTATAGAAGGGGACTTAGAGGCATCCACATTTGCAATGCAGGGTGTTGTCAGATTTATGTTCTTAGCAATCATATTGTTAATGGTTTTGGTTGTCTTCTTAGCAATCATATTGTTAATGGTTTTGGTTGGTGGTGATAGCATCATTATTATTACACTGGCCAACACACATTTGGGTGCTTCAAACGTTAGATCTGTTTCTGGGTATATTTGAGCTGCTGATTCCCGTTTCCCCCTTACAGCTCTGTTTTTTGAAATACAGAACATGCAGCATCTACCATCGGCTTGCCCGTAGACATATTGGAACTCAAGCACATCCTGCACAAGGCTGTAGTCCTCACTAAGGACTCTGTCTGTCTCTTTCTTTTGATTCAAAGTTTCAGCCATAAGGCAACCTCCTGGGTCCTCCATTTTGTTCTTCTCCTGTGAGCATGGAGAGAGAGAAGATGTCTCCAGAGAGACAAAAAGTTCAATAGTTTGACCCTAACTTTCCTATCTAGAAATGTAGCTCTTTGAATAAAGCCTTTGGGAACTTTTAAAACTCGATTCTGCTCCTGTAATTGCTGAAACTCAACAGCTCTACTGCTGGTACTAGAAGCTTCTGATCTGCTGGACTACTGCTACTGCTGTTGTGGCTGCTTTACATTTTTGAATGCTTTTTCTCATTTTGGAAATTATCCTCCAGCAAACCATATCTAAGTAGTGTCGCAACTCAGGATAGATTCACCTTGCTAAAGACACCACCACACACCAAGGCTGTAGGTTTTGTAGTTTATTGAAGAAAAAGCAAAATCAAAAACATAGAAATATAGTTGCAAAAGTTCAGTAGCCAAAACAGAGACTTAAATGCAAAGGCGAAGTTTCCAAGATCCAAAGGCAAATAACATGAAGTATAATCCCTTAGCACTGGTTAAACAAGAGTCCATGGCAGCATGACAAGATCCCCAAAAACCAAGATCAAGACCAAAGTCCCAAAGAGCTAAAAGCTTTCCCCAAAAACTGAGGTAATTCCAAAGAAGTTAACAGGGTGTAAGCAACATTGCACTGACAAAGGATTGACTTCAATCAGATCGTTAAATACGTTTCCCTAGCATGAAAGCATTACGTTGACCTCGAACTTCCCGTTTATTGGCAAGGCGAGCACTTCGGCGTACTCTTAATTGCAAACAGTCCTCCCTAATCAAAACTCCACCATCTTCAAGGCCGGATAACTCATTATCCTGGGACTGGTCACCCTGGGAACCGAGAGGCACTGAACTCCCAGATGAAGCCGACTCCTCCACCTGCAGCTGTAAAGTTTCACTATCTTCATCTAAAACAACATTCTTTTCTCTGGGAAACAGAAATGCCGTCTCTTCTTCAGAATCAACACTGTCTGCCTCAGAAACAGGGACATGTTCAGAAATCTGTAACCCATCATCCTCCTCGTCCTGAGAAAGCTCAGTTTCAAAGTAAGCCACAACATGTAGTATGTCCAATGCAATTTTCTGAATCAGAGCCCCAAAGACCCCAAGAACAGGCCTTAAAACCAAGACTTTTTTCTGTTGGACTGTGTTATCATCATCGTCATCCACTGTATTCTGTATTTTTGCTGCTTTGTAAAACCTATTCATGCCATCATACACAATGAGCCTGTCTCCCTCCTTAGAAAAAATATTGGCGGCCCTGCTGACAGTCACAACAGTAGCAGGACTGTAAGGGGACCACCAAACAACAATAAATACAGGGAGTAAATAAATTAAAAATTACTGTTTACTTCTAGAGCTTCATTTCCTTCTGAGCGAAGCCTGCGGTTTGCACCTGCTAAGGCAGGAAGAAAGCCAAAGCCCTGATTGAGATCTGAAAAGAAAGAGCTGTTAGAACGACAACAAAGCCACAGAGGTTGTAATGAGTGTCAGGAATCCCTGGGGGCCTCCATGTTAGCGGAGCAGCGGTCTGCTCCGGTTTTTAGTCTGAACTTGAAATGAGCTGTTCGAGTTGCAGGTTTTGACATCTAACCCATTCAATCCAATGGGACTTGGCCAAGAATGCCCGACAGCACACACTTGGTCAAGGAGAAAGGTCCGTTTTTTAACAGCAGGCTGAAAACAACATACCGCTTTTCATCTCCACGTTGGACCAGACATTGGCATTTAAGGCTTGGATGATTCGTTTCACTCCTGTCGATTCTGGAAAGTCATCTGAAGGAATGAGAAAGGCAGAGAAGCAAAGTGTCAAAAAGTGGTCTTTTCCTGCTCTCTGACTCTATGATCTTTCCCCCATTCCAATGTAAACAAATGAATGAGTTCTTAATTGGTTTAAACTGTTTATTTTTAATACTGTTAATATTTAATTCCATTTTAATGTTTGCATATTTGTAGCTTTTAGACTGTATTGAACTGGTTTTAATTTAAGCCGCTTTGAGTCTTTTTTTTTTTAGAGAAAAGCAGGACACAAAACTAATAACACTAACAAAATTTGAAACTTTTTCTCTTCCGGGTTTCAAAATGTTATTTCCTGTTTAATTGTGCAGTATTTATTTTGAAAGTAGTAGTTTTACTGCAGAAACTTAATTTTTGGGGTTGCCAAAAATACTATATATACTCGAATATAAGACGATCCAAATCTAAGCTGAGGCACCTAATTTTACCACAAAAAACTGGCAAAACGTATTGACTCAAGTACAAGCCGAGAATAGGAAATGCAGCCGCTACTGGCAAATTTCAAAATAAAAATAGAGACCAATAAAATTAAATCAATTGAGGCATCAGTAGGTTAAATGTTTTGAATATTTACATAAAACTGTAATTTAAGATAAGACTCTCCAACTCTGATTAAACTATTATTCTGAACTTCTTCAATGTAAATGTGCTTATGTATCCTTCCAATAATTACAGAGTAATATAATAAATGTAATAAAAATAATAGAGTAAAATAATAAATGTAATAATGATAAGAGTAAAATAATAAATATAGTAATAATAAATAGAGTAAATAATAAATGTAATAATAACAGAGTAAAATAATAATAATAATAATAATAATAATAATAAATAGAGTAAAATAATAAATGTAATAACAACAATAATAGAGTAAAATAATAAACCCCCTTTCTCCATTTGCAACACTTGATATTCAGTTTGAATTGGAAAAAGGTGTCCTGGTCATTTGTAAAAAAACAAACAAAAAGAAACACACACACACACACACACAATTAAAGACCAATCACATAATCAGAATTAAGTCCTGTTTGGCCCTGGAAGGATGGAAAGACAACTCTTGTATTTTCCATCCACTCTTGCTTGTCTTTTCTGGGGCAGCTCTCAAAACGGAAGCCAGACAGGAGGGGCTAAAGAGCTACAGCCGCCTTCCATTTGATCACCTTTGAAAAAGGAGCCGGTAAGTAAACAAAGCCATTCACATTGACTGGGGTGGACCTCCTTCTGGGCTGACTCAAAACAAACTACAGAAATGGAGGATGCTATCAAAAGACTGGAAACAATTCAGTCGGGTACAGTTTTATTGTCAAATGGATGAGTCACCTCACATTCCCCTCTCCCCACCCACCAAACTGCTCTATCCAGTGACGCATCAGTTACCCTGTTTTGGCTTAGAATTAAAGCCTGGAAAGTATCTAGATGGCATCTTAAAGCAATGGCAGGCGACCTATAGCTCTGGCAACCCTCTGGCATGGAGAGTGGCTGCTCGGGTGCCATATACAAGAAGGCTCAAGGTGCTGGAAGAAGGAAAACCAAGGAGAAACTTGGGGAGCTGGGTGTGTTTAGCTTGGAGAAGAGCGAGAGGTGACAAGATAGTCATCTTTGAAGATTTGAGAAAATATCACGTAAAAGGTGGGGTAAGCTTAGTTTCTCCTGTAATTGATACAGGATTGTAAGAATTGTTCAACAGCAGAATAGGATGCTTCTGATGACTCTCCTTATTTCAGAGGGTTTGGTAGCCATCTCTCAGGAATACTTTAGTGATCATAGAATCATAGAGTTGGAAGAGACCTTGTGGGCCATCTAGCCCAACCCCCTGCCAAGAAGCAGGAAAATCGCATTCAAAGCACCCCCGACAGATGGGTGATATATCTACAGGGATGGGGGTTGGACTAAATGACCCTTGTGGTGCCTTTCAGCAATAGAATTACCTATCCGAATGTATCTCTGCCTATGAACCCACCAGGACTCTAAGATCTTCTGGGGAGGCCCTGCTCTCGATCCCGCCTGCATCACATGCACGGCTGGCGGGGACGAGGGACAGGGCCTTCTCTGTGGTGGCCCCTCGGCTGTGGCACGCCCTTCCCATGGACATTAGATCAGCCCCTTCGCTAATGGTGTTTTGAAGAAAACTAAAAACCTGGCTGTTTGAACAGGCGTTCGGATAAATAGTGCAATGAACTCGATGAATATAGGAAACGGAATTATGGATGACGAATTGGATCACGATTTTAGTTACGAGACGTTAATGTGTTGTTACTGAGATGTCATTAGTTTGTATTTTATACTGTTAATGGTTTTAATATTGTATGTTGTTGGATTGTCTTTTGCTCTTGTTGTGAACCGCGTTGAGTCGCCTACGGGCTGAGAAACTGCGGTATACAAGCAAAGTAAATAAATAAATAGATTTCTATGCAGGCAATACCTGGCATTCTCTTCAACAGTGGAGTGTAGTGGAGGCTCCTTCTTGGAATGCTTTGGATTGCCATCTGTCAGGGGTGTTTGCAATTTTCCTGCCTGGTAGAAAGAAGAGGGTGGGACAGGATGGCCCCTTGGGGGCTCTTCCAATTCTATGAGATGGAAGCGACCTCATGGTCCATCCCCATTCTGGCAAGAATCAGGAAAATTGCATTCAAAGCACCCCCTACAGATCGCCATCCAGCCTCTGTTTCAAAGCCTCCAAAGAAGAAGCCTCCCCTACACTCCGGGACAGAGAGAGAGTTCCACTGCTGAACAGGCCATCCAGCCTGTGTTTCAAAGCCTCCACTACACTCCGGGGCAGAGAGAGAGTTCCACTGCTGAACAGGCCATCCAGCCTCTGTTTCAAAGTCTCCAAAGAAGAAGCCTCCACTACACTCCGGGACAGAGAGAGAGTTCCACTGCTGAACAGCTTTTCTCACAGGAAGTTCTTCCTAATGTTCAGGTGGAATCTCCTTTCCTGTAGTTTAAAGCCATTATTCCACATCCTAGTTTCCAGGGCAGCAGAAAACAAGCTTGCTCCCTCCTCCCTATGACCATCTCACATCTTGACAACTGTGGTGCCCAGAATTGGACACAGGTGTGGTCCTACCAAAAGGTAGCAGGACTTCCCTAGATCTAGGCACTATTTTATTTTTTAAGAAGCTGGAAGAACCTACCATCTTCATCAGGCAGCTCTTCTGGATTGAGCTCCACCAACTCAAAGCCGTGCCGGATGCACCATTCTTGGGCCTTTTGCCGACTTACGCCTAAAACAAAAATAAAGGAAGAAATTGCGTGTTTCCAGGAAGGAATGATGCCATTTTTTTTCTTCTGTGTAAATGTGCATTTTACTTCACTGGGACTTGGCTAAGCAGGAAACTCCACCATGAGAGAAATCATCCCACCACTGGGTCAACATGCCTAAAACCTGTATTAAATCCCTGGAATCATTCACTTTTGTCCACATTTTAGTTCAGGAACATATCTCATGCAAATACGGGCATTGCAACATACTACCTAACTCTGAATGGCCCCAACTCTAAGATCCTATATATCTTAAGTGGCCCATGAGCCAGAAGCCGGACGCTGTTGCCATACCATTCTCAGAGACTCTGTCACAGACTAAAATCATCACTTCAGGAAGCCAGTCTTCGACGAGAGGAAGCCATGAAGAGATGCTATCCAGTCCCGATATCTGTAAAATCAAGCACAAGTTGCTGGAATCCCATGCTGAGTGAGAGGGCTTATTAAAGAAGGACCCTCCCCATAAATGTACAGCAGAGCAACCCAGCTCAAATAGCCCAAAGTGATAAAAAGAACAAAACACAGAGACTGGTGTTATCTCTTCCATAAGAGGCTTTCTTTGAAGTAAAATAATATGGTTGCACTATTTACAAGAACAAGGTTTCCACAACACAAAAGTTCTTTATACTTTCTTCTTTGCTTCCATGCTGGGCTTCTTTCTCATGCAGATAAACAGCTTTGCTCTCACACAGAGGCTCCTCTCACACTGAAGTTACACAGGAGCTTCACACAGTAGCTTTGCACACGACAGCCTTCAACCTGCGGCTTTCTCTCACCAAAGCTTCTCACATCAGGCCTTCTCATATTCTAAGGCCGTCCCACAGACAAAGGCCTATCTCACGCTGTGAGGCCTTCTCTCACAGACTAAGGCCTACCTCACACAGAGGCATCTCTCACAGACTAAGGCCTACCTCACACTGTGAGGCCTTCTCTCACAGACTAAGGCCTACTTCACACAGAGGCTTCTCTCACAGACTAAGGCCTACCTCACACTGTGAGGCCTTTTCTCAGATTAAGGCCTATCTCACACTGTGAGGACTTCTCTCACAGATTAAGGCCTACCTTACACAGAGGCTTCTCTCACAGACTAAGGCCTATCTCACACTGTGAGGCCTTCTCTCACAAAGGCCTACCTCACACTGAGACAAACTAACACAAAGGCCTACTAAGCTACAGTCATACCTGTTTATATACAACTGCGGCATTTGCTGAGTCATTGCATCCATGTAACCTTTTCAGTGCTTGGCTCACATTTTTGTAATAAGAAATACCTAGTTAAATTTTAATATTTATGGCACTCCACACATTGATTCATTTTTAAAGCTGCACAAGTGAAAATGTAAGAAGAAGAAGAAAACAGAAGGAGGAGAGAAAGAAAAGAAACAGGAGGAGAAAGAGGAAAGAAAAAGAAACACAAGGAGAAGAGAAAAAAAATCGAGACCAAAAACATGGGCATTTTGTATCTCGGCATTAACCAACACAGCTGTTTCAAACATTCAGTTGGAAACCAAGAGTAAGCCTCTGCAACATTGCCTCAAACCAGGAAAGAAAATTCTAATGTGGTCCCTGCACATCTCACATCGCTGTACAAAACAAAGTTATCTTGACTGGACAGAAGCCATGTAATTTCGTGCAAAATGGGCGGCAGCATCTTGTAAACTGCTGAACAAGTTTCCACTAAATTGATTTCTGGGAGTATTATGCATAGCGCATAACAGGCATTCCCACTGACTATGCTCTGCTAATGGAAGCAAGGCTGTTTAGCTTGAATTTCCCTGCGAGCGTCTTCCCAAAACTGGGAAGGGTATTTGGCTTGAGGCCAGAGAACTACAGAAAGGCTTTCAGGAAGAAAAGCCATCATAAAGAAGAAAAGGACCTCCAAGCGTCACTTCAAAAAGAGGAAGAGAACATTAAAGAAAATGTAGAAACAGGCACAAGAGTTGTCATTCCATCAGCTAGTGTTTTTTTTTAAGAAGTGGGGATAAAAAAACATGAACTGGAGTGCCCTCTTGCTGAAATAAAATTCTTATTTACCTACATAATTGGGATAAGCAACCTCAATGACACCTTGGCACACAAACCTTGTTTTTGCGGAAGCCATTCAACATTATTAGCCAACACAGTTTCCAGCAGCAGAGTTACAGATGTCATGGCTAACGATGACAACCAGAGGAGGACTCACCGTCGTGCTGTCAAAATAAGCCAAGAAAGCCTGCACGGTCTCAGCAATTTCCGCTGTCACGAGGAACCTATTTTCCACAACGCAGAGGTGAATGGGAGCTGAGTAGTATTTGTTGTCTATCGTCCATGGATACAACCGGACCCCAATGTCTGTGGAAGCGTTCTCCGGAAGCTCTTCCTTCCCAATGATACCTTCAAGAGGAACACAAGGGACTTCACAAACTGACAAGAATGAGTTCAGAGTTACTTTTCTCTTTCGAAAAGCAAGAGAAAGGTATGTTTGGGGAGAAGTGACAGTGGGATGCTGTGAGTTTTCCGGGCTGTCTGGCCATGTTCCAGAAGTATTCTCTCCTGACGTTTTGCCCACATCTATGGCAGGCATTCTCAGAGGCTGTGAGGTCTGTTGGAAACTAGGCAAGTGAGGTTTATATGTCTGTGGAATAATGTCCAGGGTGGGAGAAAGAACTCTTGTCTGCTTGAGGTAAGTGTGAATGTTGCAATTGTCTGCCTTGATTAGCATTTAATGACCTTGCAGCTTCAGAGCCTGGTTGATTGCTGCCAGGGGGATACTTTATTTGGAAGTGTTAGATGTCTCTGATTGTTTCCTGTCTGGAATTCCCATGCTTTTTGAGTGTTATTTACTGTCCTGATTTTAGAGTGTATTAATACTGGTAGGCATATTTTGTTCATTTGCATGGTTTCTTCCTTTCTGTTGAAATTGTCCACATGTTTGTGGATTTCAATAGCTTCTCTGTGCAGTCTGACATGGTGGTTGTTAGAGTTGTCCAGCATTTCTGCTGTGGCCAGGTTGGTTGGTTCATCAGGTTCTCGACAATGGCTGACTTCTCTGGGTGAATTAATCTGCAGTGCCTTTCATGCTCCTTGATTCGCGTTTGGGCATTGCTCGTTTGGTGATCCCTATGCAAACTTGTCCACAACTTCCTGGTATACGGTACACTCCTGCAGAGGTGAACCACCTAAACTGGGCTCTACAGGCCAATGGAGACTCCACCGGAGACTTCAGAAGAGCTGCAAGACCAAGACCAAGCCACGAGAGTAAAGACAAAGATCCATCCAGAGGAAAAGTGTTCTTACCAGACATCAAGGGAACCACAGACTGCATAGGGAAGCTGATGAAGAAACGTAATCTACAATTTATCTACAAACCCACTAGGAAAATGCCACCAATGCTATGTTCAGCAAAGGACAAGAGGGATCCTCCCACCTCTGCAGGAGTCTACCGTATACAGTGCAGCTGTGGACAAGTTTTACATAAGGGACAACCAAACGCAGCAACATTGCCCAGACACAAATCAAGGAACACTAAAGGCACTGCAGACTAACTCAACCAGAAAAGTCAGCCATAGCAGAGCACCTGATGAGCCAAGCTGGACACAGCATATTATTGACGAACACAGAAATGATGGACCACTCTAACAACCACCATGTCAGGCTACACAAAAAAAGCCACTGTAATCCACAAGCATGTGGACAATTTCAACAGAAAGGAGGAAACCATGCAAATGAACAAAATCTGTTCATTTTCATGAGAGAGCAACTGGTTTCGCAAAACCCTCTTATAGTGCCAAAGCAACAGGGATTTTGGGAGGGGAGAGGCTGACTACTCACAAAAGATTACTACTAACACATCAGCTCTAAATTAATAAATATGGCTTTCTGTGGGTGAATCAGCACCCCAAATAACCAAACCAAATCTGAAGTTGGCCAAAAACAGATTCATAACCCTTTTGGTACTAATGTTGGAGAGTGGTCCCTGGGCAAAAAAAGGTTGGGAACCACTGGTTTAAAGGGAGTCAGATGATAAGGGACACCAACTATCAGATAGTGATTGCAGGGTTTGTAGATGCTGGGTTTTTTTTTTCCAATCTAAAAATGCTAGCAGAGCGGAAGCAAATAATACAGATCAACAACATCAACAACAAAACAAACACATTTTTCTTGGTGTCTTGGTTTTAGGCCTGATCTTGGGTTTATTTGGGGCTGATTCCGAAAATTTCATTGGACAGAACGCACTAGGTCTAATTTCTTAGAGAGGGTTATGCTGATTTCTTATGTGTGAGCATAGGTTCCGTATCGCAAAAACTATAGCTCATAGGGGAAAACCATTGCCCTTTTTGGAATAAGCAGGTCAAACGTACCCAGAAACAGGCATCAAAACATGTGTTAGCCAATGTCAAAAGCATGAAAGCGAAACATGTAAATACGGAGAGACAACTGTACTAGCCCTCTTCTTTGAATGCTCAACACCAGGGCTACGAGCATTGCATGTAGAGTGAAATGACTGCAACTGTAGGGCTTCACAGAAGGGCCACTTTGTGGATTGGGAAGGGAACTGTGGCCCTCCCATAAAGCTAATGGTTAGCCTCAGCCCACCATCTGCCCACAGGGAGGAATGACCCATCGGCCATCCACTTTGCACTAAACAACTCTGCTGCCACCCACACGTCTTGGTAGAAACGCATTTGGACACCTCCCTCAAAACCACAAAACACTCTCCTGCAAATACAATGTTGCCCTCCCAACTATAATGACACCTTTCTATATCTAGCGATGGAGAACCTAGCCATTTGGGGGCAAGATTTCAGGCCTCTGCTTGCTTTTTGGTCCTCCAAAGAATCTTCCCAGACACCTGCTGAAACAGCAAAAGCGTGTGGGTTTGGAAACGGAGGAGTGCCCACTTTAAAGGTTTTGATCCTCCCAAACAGTGGACGGACCCTGCGGTTTCACATCACAACTAAAGCACTTTGAAAACGAAGAAGAGAATCCAGCTGACGCACTCAGTAGCCACATGACTTGGCCTCAGAAGTCCAGCCTCGGTGGTTTGTGTTTTCACAGAAGCCAGGCCACCTTTTAGGCTCTGTCCTATGCTCCTCCTACAAACAAGGCCTGCTCCAGGAAAGGAGCCATCCATCCTCTAGTTTGCAAGACAATTACAAAGCAAGAGACTGGAGAAGCCATTGTGAAGGTCAAGACTAAGCCCAGAACATGGGAAAGTAAGCACTTTGGGGGTCTCTCATCACCGAACTTATATCCTGCTTTCTCCCAAGAGCTAGAATGAAAAACGTCTAGAACGTTTTTCAAAATTAAATAAGTAATTCTAATGGGCACACAAATCCAAATAGAGCAACACATTCAAACTGTAACAATTAAGATGGAAGGCAATGCATTTATTACAGCAGTGGTTCCCAATCTTTGGACCTCAAGGTGTTTTGGACTTCACACCCCATGGTTCCTAACAGCTGGTAAGCTGGCTGGGATTTCTGGGAGTTGAAGTTCAAAACACCCGGAGGCCCAAAGGTTGGGAACCACTGTATTATAGGAACCCTCTGCAGAATCCAGTTAACAACAGAAAGTCTAGGCCTGTGCCTACCGTACAAGAATGGTAATGAACAGGCTGGATTTCTGCAACTCTATACAAAATTTGGAAATTCTAGTTGTTTCAAACATGATAGATTGGTAAGTGGTCCATCAACGAGTGATCACATTATACCTATACTGTATTTTTTTTAAAATTATTCATTGGCTACCAATTAGTTTCTGGGCAATGTACAAAGAGTTGGTTGTTACCTCTTTAGCCACCACTTAGACCAGTCTCTTCTGACAAGCTAAATAATAATCTTTATTTATATCCCGCCACCATCTCCCAAAAAGAGCTCTTGGTGGCTTACAAGGCACTACAAGTGTAGTATATAACATAAACGTTACATGAGTATAAACACAATATCACATAAAAGTTATAAAAACAACCACTATTAACACATCAATAAAATAAAAACAAAAATAAAAACACAGTTTAAAATGCAGACCATCTGTTGTTAAAACTTGCTGCCTTCGAATCATAACTAAAGTGCCAAAATGTCAACCTCATATGGGCCCATTTCAGCCTTCTCAAGACCAAAAGCCTGCTTAAAAATCCATGTTTTTAGTCTGGATCAGAAGAGGTCAAGGGTGGGAGCTAACCTAATCTCTTTTTTGAGGGTATACCAGAACTGGGGAGCCACCACAGAGAAGGCCCTCTCCCACCAACCACACGAGACAGTGGTGGAACCGAGAGAAGGGCCTCCCCTTCCAATCTCAAAGCCCACACTGATTCATAGAAAGAGATGATGTCTCGAAGATAGGTTGGACCCGAAGCATATAGGGCTTTGTAGGTCATAACCTGCACCTTGAATTGAGCTTGGAAAATGACTGGAAGCCAGTGGAGCTGCTTGAGTAGGGGAATAGGATGTTCCCTATAGCTGGCTCCAGTTAGTAATCTGGCAGTCGACCTTTGCACTAACTGCAGTTTCCGAACTATCTTCCATGGCAGCCCCACGTAGAGTGCATTACAGTCCATTCTGGATATAACAAAGCCTATTCAGAGGATTTCAAAATTATGCATTTTCAAGTATGGACTGTTCTTTTAATATGTATTGGTCTTTATGTTCTTTCATACTGATGTTATGAATGTTTTAACCGGTTTCTGCATTTTAAACTGATGCTACGCATTGCATTTTAATCTGCTCTTACTCAGTACCTCAATTCAAACGGAAGACATATTAAGAAAAAATAGGATTATTATTGTATTGTCGAAGGCTTTCATGGCTGGAATCACTAGGTTCTTGTGGGTTTTTTCGGGCTATAGAGCCATGTTCTAGAGGCATTTCTCCTGACGTTTCGCCTGCATCTATGGCAAGCATCCTCAGAGGTAGTGAGGATTATTATTCTCTCCATTCTTCAGCAGTCTGACTATCCTAAAGGCACCAGATCACACCTGATCTTGGGTGCTCAGCAGGCTCCACCCTACTTAGTACTTGAATGGGAGACCACCAACAGTCTCAGGTACGGTAGGATCTATTTCAGAGAAAGGAACATAGCAAACCTTCTTACCCTAAGAAAACCCCAGGAAATGCATGGCGCTGGCGGCACTAAGGAATATGCATAGTCTTATCTATATTTGGCTTTGTTCTGTGACAATGCAGCAAGTATTAATTTTAACACATGTTTTCCATTATTGCCAACCCACCCCATGGGTGTAGAATCGGGCACCTATTTATTGCAATGAATATTATCATTTTCCATACTCCAAAAGGCACCCAAATTAATTTACAAAATTATTGAGCCATACTCTACAAACTGCTCCCATTACAATAGTATCAATGTAAAAAACCTCGATTTCCTTTGGCCAAGCG